CTAATCTTGCAGACGCAGTTGGTGAAGACAATCTCTGCTACTAGCTGCTAAGGTACCCACCACTGAATAAGCTCGACAAGTCGTCTTCGAATCAGCTGCACGCCTGCCACCACGAGCAGTCATGAAAGTGCCATGCTTAACACAACTGGAAGAAACTCCCATACACATCATCAATCTTGCATCCCACTTAGGTCGCCGACAGCCTCCTTCAGCTGATCGTGCAGGGTCTGGGGAAGTGTCTGCTGCCATCTCGCGGGGCCTGGCCCCGTTTCTATTTGCCGCCCTGCTTGAGGAGGAGGCCGATGGCGGCGTCCGCCGGCGCAAAGCAGTCCAGAGTCGAGCTGGTGTCGAGGCAGACTTTCACGTGTCACTTGTCGAACGCCTCCTGGACCTTGAGTCGGGCGGTGTCTGTGAGACTTTGGTAGGTGTTGAAGGCGAGCAGGCTGCACGACGCCTAGCCGCCCTCGCCTTGAATCGCGAGAAAGTAGTGAAAGGTGTGGAAGAATCCGGCGACGCAAAGCCTAGCCGGAGTCAAAAAACAAAGCCAGGCAGGGCGACCAGCAGCCGAGGAGGGGACTACTGGCCGCCGCACGGGTCCTGGCCCCCGTCTGTGTGCCAGCGGGGGAAGAAAGTCCCCTCCCGAGTCGAAGGCGGTGGCCAAGTCGCCAACCGCAGTCAGGGATATCAGTTGTCACACTGAAAAGGCATGTAAGGGACACTTCGGTGCCAGCGGGAATTGAGCTGTACAAACCAGCTTTGGGCGAGCCCCCCGAAGAAGAAGACGACGACGAACCGAACCCCCCGCAACACGGGACACCCCCATCCGCAGCCGCATCCCTTGCGCGAGCCGCACCACACCGGCGGGGATCCGCGCGCCTTATGCCCAGGCTCCCCCCCCCCGGGAGGGGAGCCAGCAACCAGTCGTCTGCAGATCGCTGCACAACCAGGGTAGATTTGGGGCGCAGGGAGGAAGGCACGAAGCGTCAAGGAGCCCCGCGCGCAAAGGAGCCCGGCGCGTCGCGCGGCCCCTCCCCCAGCGGGCCCAGGATCCTAAACCCAGAGTCTCAACGCCAGGCCCTCCGCATGGCCGCCGGCGACAGGGCAAAGCCCTCGTCCGTGCAGGCCCCTGCCTCATCGTGGAGGCAGGCGCCGTCTCCGAATGCCGCTGAGCGACTCTGTAGACGACGCGCAGCGCACGGCCCCGGCCCTTCGGAGGGGCGTAGGGGGGTGGGGCACTGGCGTGCCTGCCCGCGGCCGCTCAGCTTGCGTCGAACAGCTGCACGTCCCAGCTGCCCAGGACGTCCCTGGGAGGAGACTTTGGTTGTTGTTGTTGTTTATGGCGACAGGCTGCCTAATGGCCTCGACCCCCTCGGCCGAAGGCAGAGACAAGTAGCATGGGGTTAAGGAGAAACCGCCCCAGATCAGCCTCGTGGCCACCCTGTGGCGGAATCAATTCAGAAAAGCCCCGAAAGGCCAGCGCGGAACCGAGGAGGAGACTGCGGCACGTCTGGGCCCCCGTCAGTGCGAAAGGGTTGGGGGAACTCCCCCAAAAATCATGGCCATCAGCGTCGCGCTGCTGGGGTACGAAAGGGGCACGCTTCCGGTGCCAGCGGGAATTCAAACCCACGCGAGCCAGACGTTCGGGGGTCGGGGGTCTTCGTCCTGCTCCTCCAGGAGGAGGAGGAGGAGGAGGAGGAGGAGGAGGAGGAGGAGGAGGGGGAGGAGGAGGGGGGAGGCAGCGGCAGGCAAGGGCCCGCGAGTGCGCCGACAGGGGCCAGCCTCCTCCTCCTCCTCCTTCTCCTCCTCCCCTCCTCGTCCTCCTTGCCCTCCCTCGGCGACTACAGTGGGTGTGGTTACGGCAGGGTGTGGTTTGCGATCGGCGCCGTCTGGGCTCAAGAAGTCCCTGCGTCGCGCCAGAGGTTTGACACGGCCTCGTCGGGGCCCTGCCCGCCCAGGTGCGGGTTGCACGCCACATCCGGCCCGCCCAGGTGCGGCTTGCGGACATCGAGGGAGGGTGGTTCAAGAGCAGGAGGAGGAGGAGGAGGACGACGAGGAGGAAGAGGAGGGAAAGGAGGAGGTGGAGCAGGACGAGTAGGAGGAGGAGGAGGAGGAGGAGGAGGAGGAGGAGGAGGAGGAGGAGGAGTAGAAGGAGGAGGAGGAGGAGGAGCGAGTTCCTAAGTTATGTGTTTTCGGGCCCGGTGTTGCACATTGTTTTGATGCCCCACCTCCCAGGCGCGGGTTGCACACCACACCCTTTGCAAACCACACCCTTCGGAGTCACTGGCCCTCGCCCTCCTCGCCCCCTGTTCCCTGGGCAGCAGCTGGGCTCGGCCGGGAAAATAATCGGGCCATGAGGATTTCGACCAGCTGTACACGCCAGTCGTTGAAAGTAGGTGTCTCTGGATTCCCAGATCCCAATCTCTTCCAAGCGCGTTCCCACCTCAAGCGCCGGTACGCTTCTGCTGCGGTGGAGCATCATCTGGGAGGGAGCCTGGACCCAATCTGCCTGATCCGCCCTCCTCCTTCATGGTTTTACCGACTTCTTCCGACCGACGGCTCCTCGGACAGGCAGACTTCGGCCACCCCGAACTCGGTGAAGCATCATCTGGGAGGGCCTGGACCCAATCTGCTTGATCGTTAAAGGCTTAACGACTTCTGCCGTCCTTCGACTCGCGCTGGAGCGGCCGCGAAGTGCTCGAACTTTCCCTGGAGATCTCTGGATTTACCTGGATTTACCCAGATTTATCTAGATTTACCTGGATTTACCTCGATTTATCTGCATCTACCTGGGTTTCTCTGGCTCGATTCTCACAAGTCGATTGGCGAAAAGTCGACAAGCCCTAAGGGACTTGATCCGCCCTCCTCCTTCCTGGTTTTGCCCGCTTCGTCCGACCGGCAGCGCCTCGGACAGGCAGACTTCGGCCACCCCGAAACTCGGACCGGCCGAGCCTGGCCAGGTCGGCCAGCGGGCCGAGCTCGGCCTCCCCGGGGGGCAGCTGGGCGAGTGTCGGGGGCGGAAGAGAGGGGGGTGATGACTAGGGGGGGGTGGATTAAAACGACGCGAAGATCGGGACAAAATCGGATCGGGATAACTCGAAATCTCTGAGAATCGGCGGGTTTGGAGGATGTATTGGGCGCCACGGCCGCTCCAGAGCGTTCCGGAATGCTCTGAGAGCGCTCCGGAACCGTCTGGAGCGATTTATCCCGATCCTAGCCCTGTTTTATGGATATCATGGCGGGGGCCATGATATCTCCCCAGATTTCATGGCGCCTCCTCTTGTTTTATTACGTCCCTGGCCCCCCCGCTGGGCCGCGCACATGCCGCCGGTCATGATTTGCACCCCCCCCTCTTGGACACCCCCCTCTTGGCCGCTCCCGAGAGTGCAGCCGGGCCCAGCGTCGCCAGGCCGATCCCTTTGTTCTGCGGAGGCGAAGGCGTGCCCGCGGCGGGACGCGAGGTTAAATCAGGAGAGGAAAAAACACACAGACACAATTAATCCTCGATTCCCAGGAAAATATGGGAAAATATTGCAAGTTGGGGGGAAAACAGAAACCCAGAAAATATGGGAAACGATGGGGAATATTTTTATTTGTGTGTATTTATTTGTGTGTCCCAGGGCCCCTTCATTAAAGCAGTGACGAAGCGTCATGGCTGGCCTACAGGCCCACCAGCGAATGTTCTAAGGACCTTTGGTGGTTTGCACGAAGTGCTCTTAGAACATCGGGGATTGGATCTAAGAACATATATATATATATATATATATATGATCATTGGAGCACTTCTGGATTACAAGAGCAAGAGCATGTCGTGGTAGGCCTGTAGGAATGCGGGGATGGTCGGTCCCTGCTCAAGGCTACGGCGTGCATGCGGCGGAACGGCAGGTGGAGGCTACTGGATCCCGGGCGTGTCTGTCTGTCTGTCTGTCTGTCTGTCTGTCTGTCTGTCTGTCTGTCTGTCTGTCTGTTTCGCCCTCCTCGTCCCCTTCTCTCCCTCCTTTCCCTCCTCACCCTCCGCGATTGGACATCGTCCTGGGGGTCTCACTCTTACTCCTCGATGTTGGATCGCGTTCTGATCCTATGACCAACTTGTGCAAGCATTGATCCTTCTGCTGTGTGAGGGAGGGTTGGAATAGGCGGGGCCCTCTGACTCGCTGTACCTGGCTAACTTGACTCGTATTCTTACTCGAAGAGAAAACATAGACACATGCCCTGACCGATCTCCGCGCCGAGTTCTTGGATCGGCTCTGGCCCCCCCCTGGTGGCGCCTCCGACGCCGCCCCAGGCTCGCTCCGCGCGCCATTCAGGGTGTTTGGCGAGATCCGAAAAATATGCTCGGACTTCTGCAAGTTTCTGCTTCTGTCGTCTTTTCTGTTCCTCGTGCGCCTCTATACTCCGCCTCCTCCGCCCTCTTCGCCGTCCTCCTCGCCGTCCTCCTCGCCCCCTGCTCCCTGGCAGCAACTGAGCTCGGCCGGGAAACAAGTCGGCCAGGATGAACTCGACCAGTTCTTGTCGGCCAGGCGGAACTCGGCTAGGTTGTGCTCGGCCAGGCCGAACCTGGCCAGGCTGAATTCGGCCCGGGCCTCCTCCGCGGAAGCGGGGGCGGAGTGGGCGGCGGAAGGAGCATGCTCAACCTCCTGTATGCCAGGTTGTGTCGGCCTTGTGGGATGAGCCCTGCTGGCGACGACCCTGCCTGCGAAGCGAGGCGCGGGGTAGACTGCCGTCTCCATCGCTGGCCATTCCGCTCTTGAACCTCTGGCTCGTACGTTGGCGGCTGGGCTTTCTCAAGCAAAATTCATGGGCCTGTTTTCCACCACCACCACCATAAGTTGGAGGGGGAGGGGGTCCCTCCTCCTCCTCCTCCTCCTCCTCCTTCCTATCCTTCTCCTCCTCTCCCTCCTCCTCTCCTCCTCCTCCCCCTCCAACTTATGGTGGTGGTGGTGGAAAACAGGCCCATCAAAAATCGTCGCCGCCCTTCTCGTCCCCCCCCCCCCCGGCGCCAGTCCGTCCGCGCCTTCGCCTCCGAGGCGCGGCGCCACGCCCCGCGGCCGCCCCCCCCCGCGCCCCTCGTGCCAGCCGCGCGCTCCAGCGCGGGGGGGTCGTCCGCCCGCCGCCGGCGGGTCGTGCGCCGCCGCCGCCGCCAGGGTCCTGCCGAGCTCGAAGCGGCGATGCATCGCCGATGCATCGGCGATGCGAGCGACGCCAGGAGCGGGGCCGTCTTCGCCGACATTGTGGAGCGCAAGCTGGCCGCGTAGGGTCTCGCGTTAAGCGCCCTCGCCTCTCGATGTGGTGTGCCGCGCTGGCGGCCGCGCAGGGCACCGCGTGGGGTCGCTGCGCCCTCTCGTGTGAGACCCGTTCTTGTCCGCTCGATTCAGGAGGGGAAGAAACACACAGACACCATTAATCGTCGATCCCCAGGAAAATATGGGGAATCATATGGGAAGTGGTGGGGAAGACAGAAACCCAGAAAATATTGGAAAATATGGGGAATATTTTTATTTGTGTGTATCTATTTGTGTGTTTGTGGGCCTCTTCATCGATGGCGAAGCCCGGCGTCCCCGGGCGGGGTTGGCCAGTAGGACCCCCTGTCGATGCTGTGCGGGCGGCTGTGGGCCAATTTTGGGGTCGATGCTTCCCCCCAGTGGGCCGGGGGGGAGTTGGAGCCGGCTGGGGATCTGAGGTGGCCCAGAGACGACGACGACGACGACGACGACGACGACGACGACGACGACGACGACGACGACGACGACGACGACGGCGGCGGCGGCGGCGGCGGCGGCGGCGGCGGCGGCGGAGGCGGCGGCGGAGGCGGCGGCGACGACGGCTGCCGCTCATCGCCGACGCCCCTCGGAGGAGGACGAACACGACGTCGTGGCCTTCGGTTCGAGGGGCTCCCCACATGGAGCTGGCTGGTGGTCTGTGGTGGCTCAGCGACGACGTTTGGGACGATGACGACGACGACGACGACGACGAAGACGACGACGACGACGACGACGACGACGACGACGACGATGTCGACCGCGACGACGGCGGCGGCGGCGGCGGCAACGACGACGACGGCTGCCGCTCATCACCGACGCCTCTTGGAGGAGGACAACCACGACGTGACTTGAAGCCAGCTGGGGGTCTGAGGTGGCTCAGCGACGACGACGGGGACGATGATGACGACGACGACGACGATGGCGGCGGCGGCGGTGGCGGCGGCGGCGGCGGAGACGACGAGGGCGACGACGATGGCTGCCGCTCATCGCCGACGCCTCTCGATCGCCGACGCCTCTCGGACGGGGACAAACACGACGTCGAGTCGTGGTCTTCGTTTCGAGGGGCTCCCGACGTGGAGCTGGCTGGGGGTCCGAGGTGGCCCAGCGCTGATCCTGGCCGGCAGGAGAGGCGGGCGAGGCTCAAGGTTCTGAATTCGGGAGGCTGTGTGTTGTCTTTTTCTCTTTTTTGGAGGGGGTGGTTGTCTGTCCCTAAGGGTTTGTCGACTTTTCGCCGATCGACTTGTGGGGAGCGAGCCAGAAAAACCCAGGTAAATGCAGATAAATCGAGGTAAATCCAGATAAATCCAGGCAAATCGAAACAAATCCGGGTAAATCCAAAGATCTCCGAGGAAAGGTGAAGCAACTCGCGGCCGCTCCAGCGCGAGTCGAAGGACGGCAGAAGTCGTTAAGCCTTTAACGAGTCTGGGACTCAGAAACGGATCCGGGAGAGGTCTAGGAATCGATTCAAGCAGGTTTGCCCTTGCCCCCTCCCCCGTTCGACAGCGTTTCTCGGGGCC